CATAAAAATTCCATTAAAATTCCACCAAAAAACCCAGAAAATCCAATTAAAATTTCCCAAAAATCCCTATAAAAATATTTAAAAAATCTCCCCGAAATTCCCAAAAATTCCCAAAAAATCCAATTAAAATCCCAAAGAAATTTAATAAAAATCCCAAAAAATCCCTTTAAAAAATCCTCCAAAATTTTCACAAAAATTTTCCCAACAAAATCCTTAAAAAAAAAACGCTAAAAAAAAATTTCCATGAAAAATCCCCCAAGAATTCCACAAAAACCCCAAAATTCCCACCAAAAAATTCCGATAAAATCCCTAAAAATCCTTCCCAGAATTTCTTTTTGAAGTTTTTTTGGGGGGGAATTTTTGGGAATTATTTGGGGTTTTTACAGAATTTTGTGGACTTTGGGTTTTTTATGGAATTTTTGGGGAATTTGAGGGAATTTTGTGGATTTGGGGAGGATTTTGTGGAATTTTTGGGGCAAATTTTTAAAGGATCTTGGGATTATTACGGAATTTTGGGGATTTTAAGGAAATTTTTTGGAACTACTTCAAGATTTTGGGGAAATTTTGGGGAATTTGCTGATTTTGATGGAATTTTTTGGGAATTATTCCCAAATTTGGGGGATTTTGTGGAATTTTTTGGAATTATTTCAGGATTTTGGGGAATTTTGGGATTTTTATGGAATTTTTTGGGAATTATTCCCAAATTTGGGGGATTTTGTGGAATTTTTTGGAATTATTTCAGGATTTTGGGGAATTTTGGGATTTTTATGGAATTTTTTGGGAATTATTCCCAAATTTGGGGGATTTTGTGGAATTTTTTGGAATTATTTCAGGATTTTGGGGAATTTTGGGATTTTTATGGAATTTTTTGGGAATTATTCCCAAATTTGGGGGATTTTGTGGAATTTTTTGGAATTATTTCAGGATTTTGGGGAATTTTGGGATTTTTATGGAATTTTTTGGGAATTATTCCCAAATTTGGGGGATTTTGTGGAATTTTTTGGAATTATTTCAGGATTTTGGGGAATTTTAGGGGAAATTTGGGACTTTTATGGAATTTTGGGGCTTTTTGAGTTTTATGAAATTTTTTCTTTAATAACTTCGGGATTTTTTGGGGGGAAATTTTGGATTTTTTATGGAATTTTTGGGGAATTATTTTGAATTTTTGGAGTTTTTTGGGAATTTTCTTGGCATTATCCACAAGTTTTTGGGATTTAGGGATTTTTATGGAATTTTGGGAGGTTTTTTATGGAATTTTTTGGGAGTTTTTCATTATTTTGGGGGAAATTTTTTGGGAATGTGGAGATTTTTACGAATTTTTTGGGAATTATTTACAAATTTGGGGGATTTTTTTCCGAATTTATGGAACTCTTGGAATTATTTGGGGTTTCATGGAATTTTTGGGGGAGTTTATGGAGTTTTTTTAGGAATTATTTACAAATTTTGGATATTTTGTTGGTTTTTTTTTTAATTTTCAGGGGTTTTTTTGAGTTTTAATGGAATTTTTTGGGGAATTCTTTGGGAATTTCTTACCTTGGTCGTTGGGCATTTTATCTGGAATTTCTGCTGGAAAAGAAAAAGAAAAAAATTTGGAATTAGAGGCAAAAATTTGGGAATTTTTCCTTTTTTTTTTGATGTTTTTCATAGAAAAAAGGTTCAAAATTAAATAAAAAACCCAAAATTTTCCCCCAAAATCTCATTAAAAAATCCCAAAATATCCCAGAAATCCCAAAATTCCATGAAAAGCTTCAAAAATTCCTAAAAAATCCCCCCAAAATTCCAATAAAAACTTTTAAGAATTCCCAATAAATCTAAAAAAAAAAAAAAATCAAGCAAAAAATCTTCCCAAAAAAATTCCAAAAAAATTCCATAAAACTTCAAAAATTCCCTAAATTTTTCAAGGAATCCCTGAAAAACTTTCAATAAATCCCAAAAATTGTCCAAAATTCACTAAAATTCCATAAAAACCCTCAAGAAATTCAATAAAAATCCCAGAAAATCATTAAATCTCACAAATAATTCCCAAAAAATCCCATGAAACCCCCCCAAAATTCCATAAAATCCCCAAAATCCCCCAAATTCCCAAATAATTCCCAAAAAAATCCATAAACCATCCCTAGATTCTCAATAAAGCCTTTAAAAAGTTTCCTAAATTCTCTAAAATATTAAAAAAAGTTTAAAAAAAATTAAAAAATTCCATAAAAACCCCCAAAAAAACCCAGAAAAATTCTAAAATTCCTAAAAAATTCCATAAAACCCCAAAAATTCCCATAAAAAACAAAATCTAAAAAATTATCAAAAATTCCAATGAAAGGAACCCAAAATTTCCAACAAATCTCCCCCCAAAAAATTCCAAAATTTAAAAAAAAATTCCAAAAAAATTTATAGAAACCAAAAAAGTTCCATAAAAACACAAATTCATCCCCAAAAAAATCCTAAAAAATTCCAGAACCCTCCAAAAAATTCATAGAAGAGTCTAAAAATCGAAAAATTTGTATAAAATCCTCAAAAAAATCCCCAAAACTGCAAAAAAAAAAAGCCCAAAAATTCCAGAAAAGCCAAAAAAAAATTCCTTAAAAATCCAAAATAATCCCATAAAAAACACAAGAAATCCAAAAAAATACTGGAAAGTCCAAAAAAGCCAAAAAAATTCTAAATAAACCCCCCAAAATTCCAGAAAAAACTCCCAAAAATTCCAAAGTTGCCCCAAAAATCCCAAAAATTCTATAAATTTCCCCCAAATTTTCCAAATAATTCCAAAATAAATCCAAAATCACCTGGAAATTCCCCCAAAAATTCCGTAAAACACAAAAAAATTTCTAATAAACCCCCAAAGTTTTGGATAAAAATCAGAAAATCCCCAAAATTCCCCAAAAAATTCCCAAAAAACCCAAAAAATACCATTAAAAACACCTAAAAAATTTTATAAATCCCACAAAAATCCCCAAAATTCCCCAAAAAATTCCCAAAAAACCCAAAAAATTCCATTAAAAACACCCTAAAAGTTTTATAAATCCTACAAAAATCCCCAAAATTCCCTGAAAATTCCCCAAAATTCCACATAAATAAAAAAAAACCCTCAAAAAGTAAAAAAAAAAATTCCAGAAAAACAAAAACTCGCCACAAAATCCATAAAAACTCCCAAAAATTCCAGGAAAATCCCAAAAAAAATCCCTAAAAATAAAAAAAATTCCTGAAGTCCCTCAAAAATTCCCAAAATAACCCAAAAAACCCCAAAAATCTCCTGAAGATTCCTGAAAAAAATTCCATAAAAAATAAAAAAAATCCATAAAAGCCAAAACTCAATAAAAATACCCCAAAAATTCCATAAAAATCCCTCCAAAATTCCCAATAAATCCCCAAAATTCCAAAAAATCCCGAAAAATTCCACAAAAATTTCCTAAAAATCCCAAAGCACCCCCAAAAATTCCCAAAAAATTCCCAAAAATTCCCAATTAATCCCCAAAATAAAAAAAAAACCAAAAAATATTCCATAAAAACCCCAAAAATCTCCAAAATTCCCAAATAATTCCCAAAAAAACCCAAAATCCTCTGAAAATTCCCCAAAATTTCCATTAAAAAAATCCCCCAAATCCCTAAAAAATCCCAAAAAATCCCCCAGAAACTCCATAAATCCCAAAAAATCCCGACCAAAAAATTCCCTCAATCCCAACAAAACCAAAAAATTCCCTAAAAGCTCTAAAAAATTCCCAATAAATCCCAAAATATTCCCAAAATCCAGAAAAAATCCAGAAAAATCCCAAAAAAATCCCAAAAATTCCCAAAAAATCCCCCAGAAATTCCCTAAATCCCCCAAAAAAACCCCAAATATTCCCAATAAACCTCCTAAAAATTCCCAAAATTCCCCAAAAATTCCAGAATTCCCAAAGAAATCCCAAAAAATTCCATAGAAGCTTTAAAAAATTCCCAATAAATCCAAAAATATTCCCAAAAATCCCA